TTCACTTTAATTTGTAATCTATTTCCTTCTGTTACCAATTTCTTTGACAGTTTTTTGAGTTTCGGCAACGAACTCCGCAGTCTTCAAATATGCTACTGCTTATGCATGCGGCTCCATCCATGTCTAGTTTTAAAGGATATCTTAGATTTTAACTGAATCACAAATAAATGGGCCTTCTCTCCTGCACTTCGACAATGCTTATTCTACAAGCTAACAGAAAAGCATGTGCATCATTTCCACATTTTCCATGTTTTTATTTTTAGACGTTGTTTTCAGAGAAGTACTACTTTTACAGCTTCACGATAGTGTGGAATACAAGATTTAGGTGCACTGTATGTAAGAAATGGCCTCCCTTGCCTTTGACATACGACTTCAGTCTCATTTGAATGGCTTCTCACTAAACCGTCAGTCTTTTGGGAAACAGCGACATCTTGCTAATATTTCTCCTCCGGGATTATTTCGGCGTCGTACTGATGTATTGATAGCCGTCGTTCTGAGAATCATGAACCTCTATAGGTGTAAAAATCTTCCCACCTGATAGCAAGGTATCTTCAACGCAGGGATTTTGAAGATTTTCCGACATTCTTTGCACTTCTTTAGTCATCCACCTCAACCGCGTTCACTAACTGTTTTACATCGGGTTGAAAATAGCTGTGTGTTCAAGCAGCTTCCTGATAACTAATGTGACAGTTATACGCAAATTTCAGGGCTTTTAGCAATGCCCTTAGGGTTTATGCCGTTATTTCTACCGATCTCTTTATATATCACAGATCCATTTGGTGTCCACCGTATGAGTACGGGCAGATTTCTGCTCTACGTTAGCACTTCTTTCATCCTTCCATTCCCGATCAAATGTTGCGCCGGACTAGACGTCCTCCAGAAGGCAGACAACGTAATGACGATTAAACGCGTATCCAAAGTTCCCGGTAAATGTTAGGTAAATAAATGTTAGAAGGAAGAATAGTTTAGATTTTTTAGTTTAAACATTATCATCCTCTTCCGTCAACATGTGCAACAGCCATAGGAGAGAAGAACATTCTATTTGTGTGGATCACAGCGGTCTTTAATACGTGGACTTAAGAGGACCGCACTATTATATCGAAATCTCGAGAAAGTTTAGAGGAATGGATCTATCGTCTTCTTCGCAGGTGTTCTTACTCTGAAGAAAAATTGTGTTAAATTGGTTTCACCACAAAAAGTACGAGATTTCTACATGAAACCGCCTAAACTGACAAAACTGTCTAAGAAGTCTTGGTTGGAAAATCATGAACGACAAACTAATCTAAATGTCGTCGGCTATGAACTATTCTATAGTAGGTCTAATGAAAACGACGTTTTGCTTTCAGAATGGTGAATTCAGTATTTTGAATAGAGAACGAATGAAGCATGGTAGTTAGTAGTATCCAGCAATACGCACTGGATCTGTCGTTTGTTCGATCCTAGTCGTAGGATTCACCAAATCTTACATTTTTCCGCTTCTGAAAACTTGGCACTAAGCTTGTCCGAGAGTATAGCAGCACTGGCAAGATACATCGGTAAGCCACCGCGAGTCATTATAAAGGGTAGATATGCACTCAATCACCTCTAACTATGCTCAGCAAAGTCGAATGCATGGCGCATCCCTAAGAAATTGATCAACCCCAACCGCTTCAACGTTATTTTATCATCATTAGGAAGAAGCCAATAAGGCAACGGAACCACATTTGATGCTCCGTTTCCTGCAAAATTTTTGATCGAAATATAGGAATGCATTGAACTTACTTTGCACTTATAGAATTTTTTTGGGTATCTGTATAAGTTGTTTGTAATTTAGAAAAGCTATTGAAATAAACAAATATCCCGGCTGGGAGAGAAAGTGCAGTCCTCAATCTGAGCGCTTTTTCTTGAACAGATTCAAACAAAAGTCGAGATCTCCCCATTTACACTTCTGTAATGTAGCTGACGAAAATTTTCAACTAAGAGGAGCATATAACGGATGATTGAGATTCAGCCTAACATTGGCGATTTAAATTCTAAGTTCTTCAGGCAGCTTAAGCAGATATTCATTTGTGTACGAGGAATCTTTTTCGTGCTAACTACCAACGTACGGTACGACTTCCTCCACAGAACCCTTCTTCTGAGCACGAGTACGTACACGAGATGTGCTTCGAGATCTCTGGAACAAAATTTCACCGTCGTTGAAAGGTTGTTGATTGTTATGAAATGCTATAGCATACTCTTGTATGCTTCTTTGGCGTTTGCTTTTCCATGTGGCCGTCACGGAAGCAGAACGTGTTAGAAATGAAACGAACCACACTAGCAAAATAACTCTTATTTATGATAAATGTTTCCAACTAAACGGTGTTACAATTCCATTCATTGTGGGTCGTCGTTGACCGATTGAATAATGCATAAACAATGAAGAAAGGGCATTTATATAAATATAATGATAGTTATAAGGGTTTCAGCGTTGACCAATCCCTCAGAGATGCACCGTCCATTCGTTTTCACCAAGAATAGTCAAAGTGATTAAATGTAAATCTGGCCTACAAAATGACTTTAATGCCAAACCGATAAATTATGTCGGCGCTGCTATCCTCCGAGACAAGTCTCCTACCAGCTTCCCGGCCCAGATGAAGGCTTTAGTTAGCTTGCGACGTGAGATCGAACCACGATCAAATGTATTTTGTATTACAGGACACCTGTTATATAAATGTAATAGATCAAAAGGTGGGAATGCAGTCGATTGCTTTCCACCCTCTTCACTATGTTCCCGATGCTCATTCAAACCCCCAAGCAGCACGTTTTCTCTTGTTCTGCTCTAAAGTTAAGTCGTTCATCGTGCTGACTTCTCGACACATACAAACACAGCAGGAGCACTGGAATATTCGCTACATTCAACGTCAATGTAGGATTTTCCATGGTTTTTTTTTCTTTTAATTTAGGACAAATTTAAAACAAGTACTGTCGAAGTTAGTTGGTATTTATTCCACTTCACTAAATTGTGAGTTACAAGAACGATCATCACCAGCAAAGCAAAGATAGCGTAACTTCGAGCCAGTTACCTTCACTCCATTTCTAGCTTTTTTAAGCCTTCCCAGGGTGTTTAAAATAGTGATATTAAGTAAGGTATTATTGTCCTATCGAAGCTCTTTCTTTATGTCGTCTACACTTTCGTTGTAGTGTGATGAAATTTCGCTTGTGAAGTTGCTCTATAACTCCTAAAGAGAGCCCAAACACTTCACAGCTTCCATGACCGTTTCCTTCTCAGTTGAGTCAACTGTACTTTTTAAATTGCTTTCTTGTACTCTTCTAATACCTCAACGAGTTCCGTTATAGAGGCATTCCATTAGTTATCCATCGTACTGAAGCGTTTCTGACAGACTGCTTTGCACGTATGGCTATTCCTTACTCAATGCCCTGTCATTACTGTCTAAGATGACTTAGGCTTGTAGAGGACAGGCATAAGTCAGCAGGGAAATTGGGTGGTAGTTACCAATATTATATAGGTTGTCATCAGTCGACAATAATACATGGAGTTGATTTTCCATTTATTGGAAACGTCTGGAAACGTTATAATCTCATACGTAATATATGAACAACCGAACAGTGTGGTGATAACCATGAAGAATGGAAAGTGCTCCACATATTCGCTTCTGATCCTATCTGGAATTCTGCGTTGTTTTCCAACAAGAGTTAGCATATCCGATTTCGGAAGAAATGACCGTTTGGATGGCATGTTAGAGAAATCAACGTCTAAATCGCGGATAATTTTCTCTGCTGCTTTTCCAGATTGTTCGTTCTAGATGTTCTAGGGCTAGCATTCTGCTGTTGCAGATGAAGAAATCCTGGCAGGAGTTGCGGATGATAATGCCGATGTCCTCTACAAGTTCAGCCTGTACCGCTTCCCCAATCCGCTCCTAATGTCTTCCAGTCTTCTTTCTTAGTTTTTATAACGAAGTCGTAAATTGGGAAGTCAGGTTTTTGTGCGTGTGTTGTAAGCGAAAATTGTCAACATAGACTTTCCAGAAAACGTGGCCCATTACAATATTTGTAGTTTTGGCGTTTAATTCTCGTGGTTAACTCTAAGATTTGGCGTAAGGTCTGTGTTCAGCAACTCCATATGCTTACCAGACATTTGAATGTTCGTCCTGTAGAGCAGAAACGGAGAATTCATGACCTGAATTGACTTGAGTCTCAGAGCAAATACAATGTCATTCTTAAGCCGTCTTTATCTTCCTCTCCGCTACCTAGTGAAGCGACATTTATCATCATGAGTAGATGGCGCGAGATTTCTCAGTAAAACAGATCAACGGTGTGTAGAGACACGCTTTAGAAACCCGGATACTATGTAGGTGGAATAAATGTTATCAACATTGTCGAACGAGCCACGAACAGGGTACTGGAAACTTCTCTTAGCATGTAAGTGAAAAAATAAATCCTACGCTCCGACCTTGTTTACGACTAAAGATCTGAAACACTGCTGCGCATTACAGTGTTTCAAAAACCAAGTGAATTGTCGTAATGCGTCTTCAAAGCATCGAATAAACTGAAACAGTGCTGATTTGATGCCAATGCCAAGCGCACAGTAGGAACGTCACCAATTCGGTGGCCATACATCCTTACAAAGACATTCAATGCCTTTGAGAATCCTATTGGTAATAAACACCTTCTGAAAAATAGAAACCGTAGCTTGAAAAATGACTTTGAGTGGTTTGATCATGTTTTCAATTTTTATGGTTCGGAACACAACCGCAATAAACAAACGATATATTTAGCATCAATATCAAGAATAGTTCAGCATTTGTTAGGCAGATTTTGGATTCGTTCCTCTAACAAAGGCTGAACTCAAAATAGGTATCCTCCAAATAAGTTGTAAATCTAAATAAATGTTTTTGAGGTCATCAAACTTCTTGTCGCGCGGGATGCTTCAAGGTCAAGGATAAACGATAGTTTGAACGAGCTATATCTAAGTCCCACTATTACTACGGTAATTAAGGCCAATTTCAACAAAGGATCATTCAACGAAGATCAACTTCTCGACGTGGTGCAGGATGTCGGAACGTAGTAGCCTGGTTCTGCAGTTGCTTGGGTTGCTCTCTTGTAACGCAAGCAGCTAACTTGCAGTTTTGCTCCGTACGGCTCCACGTGTTCACCATTTGAATCGACATCGGCAACTCCAATAGACTACAAATCATGGATCTCAGAAGGCGTACTACACTGTCATCGGACCGTGTCAATCTAGGTCACATGGCACGCTGCACATAGCCGCCATCTACTTCTAGTGTGGCTGGACTCTGATCGACAAGACACATTTCCTCAGTACATAGATTCTTCATTGAACCTTTCAATCAGAAGTGAGCTGCTTTTCCTTATAGATATTCAGAACAAATCTCCAAGACGCTGGTTTTCTTAACGACTACCGGAGCCACAATATACAACATTTTATCTACTGCCTATCGTTTCTTTTCATGGCAGAGTACTACATGAAATACAACTACAATGATGCTGAGATTTGCTTTGGTTTTCCTTCAACCAATTTTCAATTACCCGTCAACGGCAATTATCTGGAGAGTACAAAACAGCACTGAACTCAGTTAAGCTGATGCTATAGTCGAAATCCCAATGTATAGCTTTTTATCTACCGCTTACTACTTTTGAGACAAAAGTTTTTTTTAGAATAAGAGAAAAGCAAAGCAAGGGCCTCAGTGAAGCAGTCAGCAATGATTGTTGGAACGCTCGAGCGATTGAGCGAAGCCTCGTCTATAGCTCTTTTGTACCATAACCCCACAAATTCTCTAGCTATCGAAAATTTATCGTCTACTGTCGAAAAACCAGAGTTGTTCGCGGATGAGTTCTATCACAACTCAAGCCACCATTAAACGTTATCTTACGCTACTATAATCGCAAATGATTTTGCATCGGTCATTACTTGTTAGGCATTAAGCAAACCTTATTTGGTATCACACCGGTCCTTCATCGGTTCTTCTGACGTGCGCTGTTGCATATCCTCCCTTCTATTCAAGAGGGTAGCTCGCTAGAGTAAAGGTCTGAATTCTTTAATCAGGAGTTCACTACGAAATTTTTGAGAAATTTAAAAATTTTCACGTCTTTATATGCGTCGCGGTGTGTGGCATGGAGCCTGTATTGTACCATAGCCTATTACTATTGCTCACTATTCGACATGCAAATATGGACTACCCGATCACAATCAGTTTGGTCCATCACATGATTTCGGATATGATAGAATCATATTTGGATCCATTCAAGCTTTTTAGTGCACTGTTGTAGACGAGGACTTGATCACAGCTAGGCACTCTTACAGGCGATAAGATAAGATATGAAATGATCGTGATGACAGCCAAGTCTTTACCGAAGTCATTAGACACTAATATAGGTAGAAGCAGAAGTATGGACTTTATAAAGGCAGAAGAATCTCTCACAAATAACAAAAGTTCTGTAGGAAGGACAAGATTGTTCCAACTGCATTGTCAGATTTGCTACATTACAATATTTAGTGTGGGAAAGCATCTACGTAGTGCATTTCGCTTAAAGTTGTATGCGAAAACAAGAGTTTATAAAAGAGAACTCAGTTCAGATATCGCATCCAGGAAATCGGTGTGATGAGTGCAGTTATTGAACCTAGTCCATGAACAATACGGAATTGGTTATCCGTAAAAATAACATTAAACAAAAGATTACAGTTCGCAGTAAGCATGTAGTGCTCTTAGTAGTTAGAGAGCACTGCAATATACCTAGATCAGTCGTTTAATCGATCCGCGCTCCGAGCTCACCAGCCCTTCCATCTCTCTGGGATCAGCAAATTGGTAACCGGCTCGTCTGGGAGGATAGCAGCACTGACTCGATACATGAATAGGACACCGCAAGTCAATGTATAGGCCAGATATGCACTCAATCACCTCTACGATACATAATGAAAGCAAACGCTTAGCTCATTCCTTGCAGAATAACGCAGAATCCTGTCTGGCAAATGGTCGAACTTGAATAGGAGTCCTCCGCTAATTTGTTGATAGTTTCGTGGTTTCAAGAGAAGCCGAACCCTCTTACTCGCGGCTTTGGAAAATTTAGTTTCATAGCAGAGGAAGGAGACAGTGGGCAACCTAGAAGGTGGCACTCAACCATGGACAATTCTCCGAGGACCAATGTTTTTATGTGGGTTTCAGCATCAAAACGACATCTAATACTACGTTCGTACATGATATTGTGAATATTTGGCTTTAGATCGATACGAGGCATTAAAAATTAGGAGTTTGATCAATAGGGACGTAGCTAGAATATCTGCTACGCCTTCGTAAAGAGTGCTTGTCTTTAATTTTAATTTTAGAAAAATTACTCGTAGTCATCAAGACAGAAAATGTCCGTCCTTGCTATTCACATAGTCCAGTTTAAAGTGACTGTAACTTTTCAACTGACTGATACTGATGTCTGTCATAACGTATTGCATGCTCTTGTCTCAAACCCTTCTATTACTGCCTATGATTTCTTTTTCGAAAAGTCAACAGTCTTGGATTTAAAAAATGGTTTCCCACGTTGCATGGCCATATTCTGTCGAAGAAATCTAAAAGTAGAGGTTCTCCTGCGGGAAGTTCTCGTCATCTATTGCACGCGAAGGAAGTCACCTGAGAAGCTCTGCTAACGGAGATGAAGGTGTGACAATGCTAGCGGCTGTTCGAGTAATTCGATAACTAAAGTGGAGTGGAACAAGTTCCTTCTTCATTCACATTGTCGTGCGATACCTGTAGTCGCGACCCGATGTAATATAAATGTCATGTACACCTAAATTCCTGTTAATTGCTTTGATTTAATTTGTATTGGCACCAGTAAAACCGTCTTTTTAACGCAAAACCTGATTTTAATTCGATTCACGGAAATCTAAAGAGCAGATTACTTGGAAACTACTGGAACTGTTACTCACTTCTATTTCATTTTTTCCTTCATTCCTTAGCTCCATTCTCCTAATTCAAAACCAGTCTTGTCTGGGAGGATAGCAGCACTGTACATCGATGGGCAATCGCAAGTCATTCTAAAGGCCAGATATGCATTCAATCTCCTCCAACGATGCTTAATGAAGTCGAATGCACGGCGCATCCCTCAGGGATTGATTAACGCCGAGAGCTTTATCCTTTTATTGTTCTATTTCATCGCATTCACCGTTAAGGCTCATGATAATTCTAAGCAAATTCGGTGAAAAACACTGAAGTATTTTGTGCTGGGCACCTGTTGAGGAGATGTGTTAGTTTAGAATGTAATCCAGGTGGTTCCGAGTTTAGATGTTGACGATCGATGGTTCCAGGGATCTCAAAAGTGAATTCTGAGGGTTCTGATTGCGAAATATTCAGCAAAACTAGAGAAACTAATGGATTTATAGTGCGAACTTTGCTATTGAACGTTGTAGACTGAATGGAATGAGTACGATAAAAAAAAATGATGTAAATGAGTGTAGCAGCACGTGTTATCCCAACGTGATAAATCGAGTTAAGATTCTTAACCGCTTTGTTTACTGCTTACTCTTTTTTGATGGCAGGGTATATTGCGAAATATAACTTTAATGATGCTGAGTGCAAAGCTCCCGACCGCAGGTGTCTGCGGTGGGGAATGAACGCGGTATTGTCCTTTCGAGGGAGTAACACGTTCACCACCACACCATGCGGATCTTCCGTTTCGCCTGTCTCTCAATTAGTTCTATCGATTTCTGCATCAGCGTTACTCGCCGGAAAGGATAATAGCGCGTTCGTTCCCCACCGCAAACACCTGAGTTAACATTTCCACTCTGGCATTAGTGGTAAGAAAAAGGAACACTTTCTTATGGAAGACGTCCAGTAGCTATAAAAACCATTACTTCCCGCATGAAGAAGAGGATTATGTAGACCTGGAATAAGCGACAAGGCCAGAACTGATCCTTTATCACGATACAGATGTTCCAGACGTGGCAAATAGTCTTTTGGAAGGAATGAAATACCGCACCTAGTGTGATAACGAAACCTGGATTTCACAGTGATGATATCTGGGAGCACAGTTCACAATGATTCGGCTTGTTTCTGAACGTCGTCATTTGTGATCGCGGTCACGTCTAAACCCTTTTAGTTATGACTTGCGGGACATTAAATCTGCGTTTGGCCACTCCTTGCTCGACAGTTCAAAAAAAACCATAGGGCGTCGCCCCCAGTGATAAGGAATCATTATCATAATCCACATCATGCAAAGCTGCTATGGAGTAGTACAGCTGGACACGACGACTGATTTGGCTTGGTTGTCACGTTATACGACACCTAATTAAATATCGTTACCAACCTACTCGCTTTTCGACGATAGACGATAAAATTTCGATAACTGGACGAGTTTGAAGGGTTAAGAACACGGCAGAATTTTATGCGAGATTGTGCTCTACTGCTCTGGTAGCGCACGCTTCACTACTTACGTTATATCGCTATGCTTCGTGACACAGACACAATGCGGTGAAAGCGTGTTTTGTAGCTTATGTCGAGATTATTGCTGGATATTTCGTACCTGCATTCCATACGATAACTACGACTCATTATAGGGACTAGAATTGAAAAGGCAGTTATTTTCCAATCAAATTAACAGCCATTAAACTGGTTTAAAATAAGGTTTTTCGTTTATTTCTAAGAGCAGAATAGAGCTTTTCAGCATCGATCCCCACCCCCTCCCCCGCTATAACGAGTGTTAGATTAGCTATCGATTCACTACATGAAATATGGGAAAATGATTGTGTCTTGCAAAATAAACAATCACAAAGAAAACGACCTAAGGAGGGGTCATGCCGGCCACAATGTCCCCTTATAAATAGGAGGTCTTGTCGCCGCGTAAGTGGTAATAATTGCGAACTAGCACCGGCCAGCAATTAGAGAGCCCTTTGATTACATTTGGGAACTTTAACGCATAGTGATTGTATTTATTTGTAGTAGCAGTGTGTACATAAGTAACACAGTTTATAGGCTTTGATTCGAGACTAAAAGAATGATGCCTATGGAGAAGGAGGATTTTATGCTGGAATGTCCAGGAATGAGATTTGGCGACATTATTGTAGCATTCCTTATGAATACGTGCACTTCAGGAACACCGCATTGAGAATTACAATCGAGTCCGTTCCTGTTTATATCATTACTTCAGTGTAAGATTAACAACAAATATGGTGGAATTCCTCCTTTTTTAACAACTGTATCGACAAAGTTGTAAGTAGTCTTACTGACGCCGATGTTTAGAGAAATTTATAGCGCTTCATGGATCGATGTAAATTCTAAATTCTTCGCAAAACTTAGACGCTTGACGTGTCTCTTCTATTCACCACGTTATATTT